TGTGTTTTTCTTTTTCCTGATTTCAGCTAGTATTACATGGAATTTTAAGAAAAAAGGATACATGAGGAAGAGGTTTCAAATCCATAAGTTTTGGCAGCACTACACTTTCTTAGTAATTTACCTGTGAGATAATATACACATAGTTCTCTGCCCCTGGTTCTTGGCATAGAGCTCCTCAAACCCTTGCAATTTCCTAAGTGATAAGAGCACTAGCAGCCTTCCCTGGTAGCTCAGTTGGTAAAAAAATCCCCCTTCAATGCAAAAGTGACCCTGGTTCGATTCCTGGGTTGGGAAGATTCCCTGCAGAAGGGATAGGCCACCCACTCCAGTATTCTTGGGCTTACCTGGTGGCTCAGCTGGTAACGAATCCACCTGCATTGAGGGAGACTTGGGTTTGATCCCTGGGTTGGGAAGATCCGCTGGAGGAGGGCATGGTAACCTACTCCAGTATTCCTGCCTGGAGAATCCTAATGGATAGAGGAGCCTGGCAAACTGCAGTCCATGGGGACGCAAAGAGTCTGACATGACTGAGCACCTAAGCACACATGCAAAGCACTAGGAACATATTTTGTTCTATTTGGTCTTTGACCCTTGCTCCTGACACAGAACTCCTATATCCCTTACAATTTCCAGGGAGATAGGAAGTTTTTTCTTCTAATGAGTTGACTCTTGGTGGGTTCCTGGATGGCACTGGTCACCAGAAATACCAAGCTATGATTAGAAAACTGGACTTTTTAGCCCTGCCTTCCCATTTTCCAGAGAGAGGAGAGGAGCTGGAAATGAGGTTAATGATCATGTCAACTTATTGAAGCCTCCATAAAAATTCCAAAAGCATGCAGTTTGGAGAATGCCGGGGTTGGTGAACATGTGACATAGAGGTTCTGAGAGAGCTGTTCTAGAAGCCATGCCCCCTTCCACACACCTTGCCCTACTCACTTCTTCTATCCAAAAATACATCATATCCTTTTGTAATAAACCAGTAAACATTAAGTAAGCTGTTTTCCTGAGTCCTGTGAGATGCTCTAGTAAAGTAACGAAATCCAAGGAAGGTTAGTGGCAACTTCTGACCTATAGCAGGTAGAGCAGATGCACCAGTAATAACTTCCATCCATCTCCTGACAGAACTGTCAGAACTGACTTATGTTGTAAGACACTCAGCTGGTGCCACAGAACTGCAGGGTGTGGGAAAGCCCCACACATCTGGTGTCAGAAGAACTGTAGTGTGAGCGTAAAGAAGAAACACAAGAGGAAGAATACATTTTCCTTTACAGTTCCTAAAGCCCCACCTTGCCCATATAGCCTGTGTTTGGATTTCAGGCATTACTTCAATCAGCGGGTATATTTTAATTGTCTGAGTAGCTTCCCCAAAGTGGTTACAGCTAACTAAGTAACAGTTATCTAAATTTTATCTAAATTCTCAAATTTGATACAATCTTATTAGAACTAGTGTTTTGAAGTATATTTTTTCTACAGTGCTGTATTAATGAGGCTCTTTATGATAAATGGCAAGATGTTTAAAAATTTTAGAACCATCTGGAATAAAAAAAACAACAATCTAGCTCCAATAAAGAAGGGGTAGTTTTAAAACCTGTTCTATAATACACAATTTTAGGAGGATGGTCTTTGTAGGAATCAGTTTTTGGTTTTCTACAAATTTTGTAGGAATCAATTAATAACCAGGGGCAAATTCAAACTCCAGCTTCAACTGGGAGTTACACTGAAACTTATACTGGAGTCTGTTGCTTCAGAGTCTTTGATCATAGGTTCAATGCAAATTTGATGAAAAGAATTCACTTTAACTCAGAAGTCAAATTTCTATAAGACTTTGCAATGACATGGCACTTAATGTTCTTGAAAGGCTTCTGGCATTTATCACACTGTGTTTACATGTGACAGTCATACATTTTATGATTTAAGTGATACAGAGAGATCGTTGGTTCTTGAGTCTAACCCCTGTTATGTGGCCTAAGGTGGTATCAAATGAATAGAGTGGCCTAACCCCTGTTATGTGGCCTAAGGTGGTATCAAATGAATACAGTGGCCTAACCCCTGTTATGTGGCCTAAGGTGGTATCAAATGAATAGAGTGGCCCTGTAGGATCAGTGACGTCTATGCTGGAAGAATTGAGAAGGCTGCATCTTGTTCAACCATAACCTGCAGCCCTCCCAGGAGATTAGTCAGGGGGCACTAGGAATGGAGGAGGAAATGTGGCTAAAACAGTGGTTCCCTCACACACACCTCATTTTCCACCCTCTCCTCTTTGCTCTGTTCATCCCCTCTCACATCTTGAGGTGCATAATGAAAGAGATTATTATGTTGCTAGAACATGGCACTGAATCAGCCTATACAAAATTAATGTAATTACTATGTTGATTTCCAGATGTTAGCTTAATGCTGGTCTATTAAAACCTCTAAAGATGAAGCTTAAAACAAACAAACATTCTGAGTAAACACCCAAATGAAGACATGCCAGCAAGTTTGGTGATAATCTGAGGCCATGGCAGATATCTCTGGATAGGGCATTTTAGGAGTTGATTCTCTCCATCATCAACCATAATGACAGAATGTTCTCAGGTCCTTTTCAGTCTTTTTCTTCCAAAGAGCCTGTGAATTCCTTGCTGCTTCTAGCCCCTGGCCTCTTTCCAGTCATCCCTCTGCCCTGCTCCCACGCCCACCACATACAGCCGTATCCTCTTGACCTCACCGCTGTGCGTCACTGGACCTCTCACCCAGGGCTTGTTTCTTATCCAGGGTTTTGAAATTCAAGGGGAGAAACCCTCCTTTTGCTCAAACATGTCTCCCTCCCCTTCTCCTTCCTCTCCTGGACTCCACATGGGTGGGCGGGGTGGGCCATTAAGGTACCCAACCTGGCCTCAGAGGGACACTTACTCTTCCTAGTTCTGTAGCCTACAACAGGTTCCTGATGCCAGGGGAGCCTCCAATTTCTCACTGATAAACTTTTGGATAATAATTCCTATTTCCTTGGTTTGAAGGAATAAAAGAGGTAATTCACATACATAGTGGTGGGCACATTATAAAGTCTCAACAAAATGTATTACTATTAACTTTGCGTCTTTTTCTACAGTTAATTTTTTTAAAGCTTTTCTGTCTCTACCTGTAACTGTGAAATTATTCTGTTTCTTAGAATGGCTTACTTTTATTTTTTTCCCCTGATGAGAGCTTTTGTTAAATCTCTGGGCTCCTGGAAAGCAAGAGTGACAAGAACCCAAAAAGTAAATGCAGTTCATCATCTTATAGTCTAGAGCAGTGGATCCCCAGTATCTGGGATCTAATGCCTGACAGTCCGAGGTGGAGTTGATGTAACAACAAAAATAAAGTGCACAATAAATGTAATGCGCCTGAATCATCCCAAAACTATTCCCCCACTCTGGTCCATGGAAAAATTGTCTTCCATGAAACCAGTCCCTGGTGCCAAAAGGTTGGGGACCACTGGCAGACTGTTTGGTTCTAAAAAAATCTCCAGAGAACACAAATTTACCACTTCTGTGAGATTTTGTTGTTGTTGTTATATCAGAATGTTGCAAATTTGTTCTTCAATCTTACTATTTTTAATTATAATCCTTGTACTGGGCTAAAATAATTCTATCTCTTTTAATAATTCTAAATTATCATTCAAGTTTTCATTAAATTATTTTTAAGTCAAACTGCATAGCTCTCTCTTGATATGATCAAATGATACATTCTTCATATTGACAGTCTCTCATAAGTAAATTTCTAATTATATACCTCCTCCACTTTCTCATTTTCTGGAGTCATTTCCTGGATTGAAGCAACGGTTTAGATAATGCATTTGTAGCACTCAAAATCATTGGCCTCCAAATCATACTGAGGAAATGTAGCTGAGACTCAGTGTCTTAACTTTCATAGCCTGAGGTTTTGTTTGAAAATTTATTCTTTAATTATGTTTACCAATGCTGAATTTTAAAAACCAAACACCAATAATACCAATTTTTGAGAAGTAAATGAAATTAGCTTCTCCAATACCTTAGACAATCCCAAGTTAAACTGGAAGTCAGTCCTAACTTGTTCATTTGTACTCTTCTTCTAAGATGAAATCTAGTCCTGGCCAAATCATTATAAATAAGCAATATTATTCTGGATGACAATCCAAATAAGCACATGTAAAAATACAATGCTGAGATATGGTTTGTGGCAAAGTTTCAAAAAAGTATAACTGTTAGGATTATTGTATACAGCTATTCATGTATCTTTTTTCATTATTAAGGTATATAATTATCTTCAAACCTATTATGGTTACTTTTCAGTGCATATTTTATAGTCGATAGCTACAGCTAATAATAGCAACATTATTGGCTATTTCTGGGCCATAAAAAAGAGTGTTTATACCAGATTCAATGGTATTATCATATGTCTCTAAAGTACACCCTCCAGAGATATACCACAAGGATTTCAACTGCAACTGCCCTTTAATAAGTTTTTCCTGTACCGAGTCTTAAAGGATTTATTTGTTCCATTGCCTTAGCTATTTTAAGTTTAGACAGAACATATCACATGACTGTGGTAGCTGTTTTTTCTTTCTTTTCCCTTTTGTTATTATTAGAGTTGTTTGTGTTTACTATTTTTATCTTCCTTCCCAAAGACATATATTTGTCTGCAATCCCCTTGGATTTCTCAGGGCTAGCAGGTATTAGGGACAGCTTCATCAGGACTGTTTCAGGTTCCAGGGAAGCTGTCTATTTAGATTCACTGAAGGGTACAAGAAATGCTAACAGGAATTCAAGTAGTAAGCAATTGTACTTTTCAGCCTATACATGCATTTCTTACTTCCCGCTGAATTCATATAATTCATGCTTCTTTGTGATTTATTCATTCATTTTGTTTGTATTATCACAAAACAGAACAGCAAGATTTGGGGTTTTGAATCATCTTATGATGCTGTAAGTGAAAAAATTTAATCTGGTCATAGCTCATCACTCTTGAAGATATTGGTAAAAGAGAAACAGGTTTGGCATGCTTACCTTGTCTGACAGCTAGTGTGGTGGTATAGACCAAGAAGAGAAGAATGTAATTGAGGAAACTCTGGAAGACTGGTGTATTGGCATGGAAATCTTCTGACAGGTACTTGCTGGTCAAGCTAATTCCACAAATAAGGAGGGATAACACCTGGCCTAGAGCCACAGAGATTAACATCTCCCTGAGAAATAAAGAGAAACATAGCAAAGATCAGCAGAAAGTCCAATAGAACAATCACTTAAAATTTACTGAGCACTTACGCCATTCACTAGGCTACATGCAATAAACAGTGACTCTTTTAATTCATCACAGCAATCCTACTGGGAAGGAGCAGTTATTACTGGGATTGTGCAAAGGAAGGGGGCTTCTAGGTGGTGCTAGTGGTGAAGACCCTGCCAGCCAATGCAGGAGACATAAGAGACACCAGTTTATAATAGCCAGGACATGGAAGCAACCTAGATGCCCATCAACAGACAAATGGATAAGGAAACTGTGGTACATATACACTATGGAATATTACTCAGCCATTAAAAAGAATTCATTTCAATCAGTTCTAATGAGATGGATGAAACTGGAGCCAGTTCACACTTAGAGTGAAGTAAGCCAGAAAGATAAAGACCAATACAGTATACTAACGCATATATATGGAATTTAAAAAGATGGTAACGGTAACCCTATATGCAAAACAGAAAAAGAGACATAGATATACAGAACAGACTTTTAGACTCTGTGGGAGAAGGCAAGGGTTGGATGTTCAGAGAGAAGAGCATTGAAACAAGTATACTATCAAGGGTGAAACAGATCACCAGCCCAGGTTGGATGCATGAGACAAGTGCTCAGGGCTGGTGCACTGGGAAGACCCAGAGGGATGGGATGGGAGGGAGGCAGGAGGGGAGATCAGGATGGGGAACACATGTAAATCCATGGCTGATTCATGTCAATGTATGGCAAAAACCACTACAATATTGTAAAGTAATTAGCCTCCAACTAATAAAAATAAATGGAAAAAAAAAAGAGAGAGACACCGGTTGGATCCCTGGGTTGGGGAGATCCTGTGGAAGAGCGCAGGGCAACCCACTCCAGTATTCTTACCCTAATAATCCCACGGACAGAAGAACCTGGTGGGCTACAGTCCATTGGGTCGCAAAGAGTGAGACACATCTAGAGTGACTTAGCATGCATGCAGTGGAAGAAACCAAAGTTTAGAAGGGTTAAGGAATTTGCTTACAGTCACATAATTAGTGACAAAGTTGGGAGTTGAGATTAAATTCTCCAAGTGCTCCTGGCTTCTTCCCACTTCCCCTAGAGCTCTAGCGGAAATTAACAGTTTCCTGTTGCCACCATGGCAAGAACAAATGTTCAGAAACCCGAGAGAGAACTCAAAACTGACCAGGAGGGACCATATTCCAGCCTTGTCCTAAGGTTCGCATATCAAAAAAGGGACTCTTCTCTTTCATAGACTGAAATCTTGGCTCTAGGAACACTTAGAAGAAAGGGCTATACAAACCCCTTAAATCTAGGAGTATCTCCTCTCCATTCCCAGATTTTGAATCTCTAACGAACACTAATAAGCACTAGTCTCTGCTCTCCTCTGCTCAAGTCGCAGTTGTTGATATATTAAAACTCTTATTCATAATGGGAATTTAGTAAGTGAAGTGGTGTAGTAAGAGATGTCAAATTTTATAAATATTTTCCATGGCATTTTTATAGGCACTGACCCTAAAGTCTTCTGTAGTCGAGATTACTGGCAAGAGTCAAAGAGCTCACTTTGCATAGAAATAAAATGCTCATGTGGGCTCTGTGGTCACATACACCTGTATCCTCTGACACAAGATGAACCCCTAGCTTCAGCAAAGCAGGCTTCTGCTCTCGCCAAGAGTCTCACCTGACTTTCCAGGTTTATTTATTTATAGAAAAAGCAATATCGAATAAGCAAAGAGTCATATTTCTAAACAAAGAAGTATTATGCAGAGCATCTGCAGTATTACATATTTCCTTCCCCATGGTGTATGTGAATCCATCTTTCTGGAAGGGAGTCCCCTGCACAGGGTCCTGGGTAGATACCTTTCTTTTGTTCCAATAAAACTTTATGTACCAAAACAGGTGGTAAGCAGATGTGACACATGGGCCAGAGTCTCCTGGCCTGGTATAGACTCTGGGCCTCAGATGGGTAGATATCTTGGTGGTATCCTTTAAAAAAAATGGCAAATCCATCACTCATCCTGTTTGCTTCCATGAGGAGGAAACACTGTGGCAAGGCATGTGGGCTCATGAAAAAGACTCTCCACAGGTTAGCTTGAAATCTATTGGTAGAGGCTGCCTTGACAGGTTGGTAGACTGCTCTGTTCCCAAGTATTGGCCCTGACTCCTCAATTCAATCTTTATAAAGGAGTCAGAGATATTTTTAGATATATAAGTTTAAAATGTTAATCTTCAGTTTAAAATCCTCCCCTATAGATGATACCCCATAGATGGCATCCTATAGAAAGCAGTGATCTATAAAGCCTATGTTACACTGTCTAAAAAGATGGCTGCCAACATTGCCTCACATCTTTCTACACTCAAGCTGCTCCTCCCAAAGGGAGGTGGGTTCTATTTTCCTTTTCAGGAAGCTGAGCTTGTCTTATGACTTACTTTGACCAACAGAAAGTAGAGGGAGAGATGTCAAGTGATTTCTGAGCCTAAGTCTTAAGAAGCTCTGTGGCTTCCATTTTCTGCCCTCCTAGGATAAAACTTCCATGTACAGAACCCCGAGGTAGACCACTGAATACTGAGAGGTTGTGAGAAAAAGAAAAGAGAGACCCAGCCAACCACTGCCACCGCAGCTGAAGCAGCAGACATGTGCATGAGGATCGTGGATCCTCTGGCCCCAGTGGAGCGGTGCCAACCTGAGTCATGTGGAGCAGAGATCAAGCATCCCCAGACATTGCTGCCCAACTGGAGAACCGTGAAAAAGAATCAATAGTGGTGCTTTCAGAGCATGAAGTTTGGGATGGTTTGTCAAGCAGCTGCAAGGCCTTCGATGCCCCCTCCACTCTCTACTCCTACCACCTTGAAGCCCTACCTCCTGCTTCCCCCACTTTATTCCCCCAGGGAGCCACAGCTCCAGCCCTGCAGAGCTCCTTGCACTTCAACAATGAGTCAAGGTCTTCTTCGTCAGCATTTCTTCTCACGTGTTACTATTTCCAGAGTGTTCATCCCAACTTGTCAGTCTGACTCTCATTCATCTTTCAAGATTTGGCCCACATGTTATGTTATCCCCTTTAAGAAGTATTCTCTGCCCTCTCTTTCCCTGGGATGTATCTCCTTTACTTCTGTATCATTGTTCTATAATGACTGTTTTTACTGGGAAGTTGGTACAATGCTCTTCATTCTGTCTACAGCTGGGCAATACCATTCAAAGTAAGTAGAACATGAACACTTCAAAGACAGTAGGTACAACTAGGCAACATCAAACGATTTTGTTGAAATGAAAGGATGACTTTTTTTTTAAAGGCAGAAGTAAAGAGAAGTACCAGAATCAACTCAAGAGTGTTTAAGCCAGCCTAGGAAGTGTGATATCCACTAACAAAAATCATGATAGGAGTTGCAGGACTTCCTTGATGGTCCAGAGGCTAAGACTCCACTCTCCCAATACAGGGGTTCTGGGTTAGATCCCTGGTCAGGGAACTAGATCTCACATGCCACAACTAAAGATTCCACATGCCACAGCTAAAGATCCTACATGCTACAATGAAGACAGAAGATTCCTCATGCCGCAACTAAGACCTGGTACAGACAAATAAATTTTTTTAAAATGATTTGCAAAAAAATTATGATAAGCAGTTGTCTTTAGTGTAAAGATAATAAACATTTTTGGTATATTGAATTTGAGCTGCCAAATGAACTTCCAAATGATCCAGCAGTATTAGAATTCAGGGATCAGAGTTGAATAGGGAGGTCAACCAGGAGAAACATATGGAAGTTATACATATAAACATGGTGGCTAAAGCACTAGAACTGGATGCCATTATCATGGAAGAAAGGAGAGAAAATAGGAAGACCTAGGAAAAATTCTTGGAGAATCCCCAGGTTGGGTTTAGGGAAGAAACTAGAGGCATATCATTGGAGTCAGAAGCAGTTAGACCAATGCTCTGTGAGGTGTGATGGGGTGGGAGGTGGGAAGGAGGTTCAGACAGAGGGGATTATATATACCTATGGCTGATTCATGTTGATATATGGCAGAAACCAATACAATATTGTAAGGCAATTGTCCAATAATTAAAAATAAATAAAAAAGCAAGCTGTTAGAAGTCTAAAGGGAAGACCACGATAGTTCTTTGTGTCAAGGAAATCAAGGGAATAGGGGTTTTTGTGGAAGAAACAGATGTAATATTGAAGTTGCTTAAAGGGCAGGATGAATGAGGACTGATAGGAGATGATTTGAAAGTCACTGCCAGCCTTTGTAAGACCACTTTTGAGTGAAGAATACCAGAGCAACAGGGGTATCATGGAAAACAAGGGAACAGAGAACTTCACAGAAGCACTAGTGGTAAAGAACCTGCCTGCCAGTGCAGGAGACATAAGAAACACAGGTTCGATCCCTGGGTCAGGAAGATCTCCTGGAAGAGGGTATGGCAACCCACTCCAGTATTCTTGCCTGGAGAATGCCATAGACAAAGGAGCCTGGAGGGCTACAGTCCATACGGTTGCAAAGAGCTGGACATGACTGAAGCGACTTAGCACACAGACATACACACAGTTAGTGGTACTAACTGGACACAAAGTGATGAGAAATAAAGGTACTAATTTTGAAGAATTTTAAAGAATTCAAAGAATTATTTGCGTAAGTTTGATCTAGTCACCACACAACATAAAGTAACAGTTAAAATAATAATGTTTAAAATGATTAAAAATAATTTAGAGTGGATTCATGATTATCCTCCTCATTGGGTCATTTTTATTTGCATAATAACTTACATCTTCAATATGAGCGATAGGGGAGAGCTACAACTCTTATACCAGAGAGTGGGTACTGGTGCTGAGTATGTCTACTAAAGGATGCTGTGTATGGAGTATGTCTCCTTGGGAAAAGAAGGTCAACAACTACTGCTAGGACATGGTCATTCCTACACCTGCTTAAGTTACAACCATGGTATTTGAAACCTTGGCAATATCTTGAACAAAATCAGGCCATAAAGA